AGAGAGAGAGAGAGGGAGAGAGAGAGAATGAGTGGGGGAGGGGCAGAGAGAGGGAGACACAGAATCCGAAGCAGGCTCCAGGCTCCGAGCTGTCCGCACAGAGCCAGACACGGGGCTCAAACTCACGGACCGTGAGATCATGACCTGAGCCGAAGTCGGACGCTCAACCAACTGAGCCACCCAGGCGCCCCTTAACTACTTTAATAGCATTTATTGTAACTCCTAGTTCTCTGATCCAAAAAATATATTATTACTTTAATATTAAAAATAGGACCTCATTTTCACCTAAACTTGTTTAAGATTAGAGTGTATGACATTAGTTCAGTCGAAAAAGAAGCAACGTGTCTCTAGGTACAGAACATTATTATACTTGAATGTGTCATCTAACGATGTAGGGGATCACCTTAGAGGTGCGGATCGCCATAGGCTTCTGGTGATGGCTGAGAACCGTCTCCTAAGTGCGTTCTCCAAAATGGCTTTGTAGTACAGTCTACATAGTCTCTATAGTCTGAGTCATTTCAATGTCAGGGTCATTTCGATGTCTGAGTCATTTCAATGCCAGTAACAAGTTAGTTTTGTGACTTCTCATTAGGCTGGCTTAGGTATGAAGTCTTTAACTTAATCTTTTCTCTTCAAATTTTCCATCCGTACAGGGTGTCTAATTAAACGTTGGGAAGTCTCTGGAACCCACTGTGCCATGCGGAGCCCTGGAATTCATAAAAATGCCATAACCTCCTTGAAATTCAGTATGATCGGGAGGGTTGCTTCTTTATGTGAGGACGTTGTGCTGTTTATCCTCCAGCTCTCTGCCCTGTTTTTCAGTTAACATGGTTACTAGTTATGAGTCTTTTGAGAACTGCTTCAGCAAAGGATGACTGAGGGGTCAGTGGCCCCCTGATCAATCTTCTTCCCATTCCTCCCCCAGCACACAGAAGGGTCTCAGTACAGAGCTATTGACAAATGAATGAAAGCATATTCACAACAGTATTGCCACATCTAAAATTAGAAACAATACAGCCAACAACAGGGAGAGAGAAAATAAATTATGGTTTACCCATAAAATAGGCTATGTTATAATATAAAACCATGAAAATCCATGATTTCAAATGCTCTCCTTTCCAATTTCATTAAATCAGATATATAGTAAGTGAAGAAGACACACACACACACACACACACACATATATATTCACTGTATGTCTGTAACTTTATAAAATAATTTCAAATAAAGAGATCAAAATTAATAGTGATGTTTTGGTGATAGTGTTAGAGTGATTTTATTTTATTTTATTTTTTTAATGTTTTTATTTATTTATGAGAGAGACAGAGACAGGATGCAAGTGGGTTAGGGGCAGAGAGAGAGGGAGACACAGAATCCAAAGCAGGCTCCAGGCTCTGAGCTGTCAGCACACAGCCCAACGCGGGGCTCGAACTCACGAGCTGTGCGATCATGACCTGAGCCGAAGTCGGCCACTCAACCGACTGAGCCACCCAGGCGCCCCTGATTTTATTTTTTATCTTATGCTTTTCTGTAGATTAGAAATAGTATACGTATTTCTTAAAGGCCACTCAGCTCAAGCATCAGATCCCTTGGTGTTTTTTTGGATTCTCCTCCAGAACAGTTAGACCCCAGGACCCCACCACCTTATCTCAAAAGCCTTTTATTTATTTATTTATTTATTTATTTATTTATTCATGTATTTTATTTTGGTAACAGCTTTATTGACATGGAACTCACATAACCATACCATTCACCCATTTCAAGGGTACAATTCAATGATTTTCAGCATATTCACAGATTTGTGCAACCATCACAATTAATTTTAGAACGTTTTCATCGCCTACACCCATTAGCTGTCAACTCCCCATTTCCCCTACCCCTAGCTGTAAGCAACCACTAATATATTTTCTGTCTCTACAGATTTGCCTATTCTGGACATTTCCTATAATCGGGATCATACCATATGTGGTCTCCACTGTGATTTTTTTTTTTAATGTTTGTTTATTTTTGCGAGACAGAGCACGACTGGGGGAGGGGTAGAGAGAGAGGGAGACACAGAACCTGAAGCAGGCTCCGGGCTCTGAGCTGTCAGCACAGAGCCCGATGTGGAGCTGCAACTTACTAGTCTTGAGATCATGACCTGAGCCGAAGTCGGACGCTTAACCGACCAAGCCACGCGGGCATCCCGCCACTGTGGTTTTAAGTATCACTATTATGAGCACTCATTAGGTGGAAAAGCTAATTGTCACCACTGTGGCAGAGTTACTGTTAGAACTTCTTTAGGGCAGAGGCTGTTTTTGGTTTTTGGGGGTTTTTTTAAGACTATTTTTAGAGCAGTTTTAGATTCACAGCAACATTAAGAGGAAGACGCAGATTTCCCATACACTCATTATGGACAAGGTAATTTTCATCTTAGTGACCAGTGGTCCATGTTCAGTAGTGTCCAATGAATGCTAAATGAATGGGTCACCAATTTATTTTTATTTATTTATTTATTTTATTTTTTTTTGGGGGGGGGTCACCAATTTATAATGAGACGAGCCTCCAAGAGTTTTATGACCTGCCCAAGATCACCACTGGTAGTAAGTGAATGGACCACCCAAGTTTCCCTTGTAATATTTATATGCTTGTGCAAGGTGCAACTTCTGTGATCTTGTTTCCTCCTTGTCAAATGGTGGGGATACCTAAATCACAGGGCTGTGGCAATGTTAGGTATTCCTGTACCCTACAAAGTCGTAATGTGCCAAATGAGGCAATCATCCTACAATAAAAAACGCAGACAATATTATAAGATTAAGAACATGATCATTGGGGTCAGGCAAACCTCCAGCGCTGTCAATGAACCAAATGACCCCTCTGGACCCTCTTCCCCCAAGTTGTCAATCAGGCCAATACTCAACGCATTACACATGGTCCCTGACTTAACCACCGTTCGACTTGCGATTTTTTTTATTTGAGGATGGTACAAAAGCAATAAGCATCCAGTGGAAACCAGACTTCGAATTTGGGATTTTGATCTTCTCCTGGGCTACTGATTTACAACAGCAGGATAGTCTCCTGATTCTGGGTAGGGGCAGTCACAGGAGGCTCCCGTCAGACACGTGGTCACAAGTGTAAACAACCCATACACTGACAATCAATCCCTAGCCCTTTTTTCCACTTTCAGTACAGTAGTCAATAAATTACATGCGCTATTCAACACTTTGTTATAAAATAGGCTTTGTGTTAGATGATTTTGCCAAACTACACGCTACAGTCAGTGTTCTGAGCATGGTTAAGGGAGGCTAGGCTACCGTGTGACGTTCAGTAGGTTAGGTGTAATCGATGAATTTTCAATTCACCGAGTTTCCATTTAGGACCAGTTTATCAGGAGGTAACCCCATCATGGCTCCAGAAAGATCTGTACATTTATTAGAATTAAGTGAGATGTCACTCCGGCGCTTTGTACAGTGGTAGCTACTGTTTGTAATTTGCACTGGCTTTATTCCCGCTTTACTTGGGAATTATAATCCTGATAAAATTATAAACAAAGCATCAATATCTTGTTTTAACTGTGGACGCAGCTCAGGTTCACAGGGGTTAACTTGCCCAAGGCTACAGGTCAGCTTTGGAACCCCAAGCCCCACACATCCTTCACTGTTAGGACACCGCCAGCCTAGTAAACCATGCCCCTGGTATCTAAACTAGAGGCTCAGCCAAGTGGCCTTCCAGGAAGCAAACTCCCACCTGAGGGCAGGGAGTTATCAGCATCCTAGGCACAGGGAGCAAGTACTATCTCTGGAATGGGCCCACAGCCCTCCCTGATGCCACACCTTCCTCTAGCCAGATTTCTAGCAGGACTGAGTGCCAGAGAGCCTGCCCTAGAGGACCGGGCCACTGGAAGGACCAGCCCCGCGTCCCGCAGGCTCCCGCCCTCCCAACGTCACGGCCTCTAGGTGCAGTGCCCCCTAGGGGCTCCCGCTCCGGTTGAGGAGGAAGGTGCAGGTCTTTCCTGCCACTGGCCCGTTACCCGCCGGCCGGTTCTGTGCCTGGCGCCCGCCCCGCCACCCTCGGGAGGAGCTACACGCCGCCGCCCGTCTGCGCGCCGTAGCCGCATCTCCGCGTGGAGGGAGACCTGCCGCCCGTCGCTCTCGCCGCCTCGCGGGTCTCGCTGCGCCCCCGCGCCATGAGCGCGCGCCTGCCGCTCTTCCTGCGCGGGCTCCGCCGCCCGCCGCGGCCCCCGGGCCCGCCGCTCCGCTTCCAAGCGCCCGGTCGCGCCAGCAGCAGCGGCCGTGGCGGCGGAGGTGGCGGCGGGGAGGGCCTGCTCGGGCAGCGGCGGCTGCAGGACGCCCAGGCCGGGAACAGTCGCGGCCAGGGCAGCCGGGCGCCTTCGGCGCGG